TGAAATCGGGTTAGCTTTCACTGTTTTGAATTAAGTTTTGTTGAACGTTTTAGTAGTTTAAAATATAACTACTGTGAGATATTGCAATATTGTATGAATATCTGAGGAAATTTAAGCATTTTGTTTTATTTGTTGTGATAATAATAAATTTTATTCACTTTTCATTGGACGTTTTCATTTAATTTATTACAAACCCGTACCGCACGCGACAATATCCATTCCTCGTTTGGAATTATTATCCTACTTATTTGGAGCACGCTTGAGATGTGTAGTCCTTTCTGATTTTAATAATCCAAATTTAGGAACATTTTATTGGGCTGACTCAGTAACCGCTTTGTGCTGATCCAGCGAGACATTCGATGGGAAACTTTGGTTTGGAATCATGTCCAAAAAAATCAGAGTACCTACGAAAATCGAAAAGTGGTGATGCATCCCTTCGTAGCTGAATGCAGCTGATCTCCTCTCTGGAGGTTGTTCAATTAAATAGTTTTTGTATTCCAAATGGTGGGAGTAGAATCGTCATGGCCTGAAAGCACCGACTTACCTGATGAAGAAGTTATAAATTCAGAAAAGCTTAAATCATTATTGAAAGCTTAAGAAAGATTCTAAACCTGAAAATTGGTATTATAAGTACTTTTGCTATGAAGAATACTGTACGCATGTTAACTTGAATTCTTAGATTTTACTTTAAATTCGAAAATTTTATTGTTTCAGAAATTGAAACAGTTAATATAGATCTTATGTGAAAAAAAAAAAAAAAAAAAAAAAAAAAAAAAAAAAAAAAAAAAAAGCTTTTATTCAATGGTGTAAATGATGGGGGGGGGGGGAGGGAAACTTAGACCTATGATTGCGAATAGCTGATTAGAGCCAAGACCAATATTGTTTATCTGAATGATACTGATGTTTCATGTTATTTTGTTCTCTAATCATGCAGCAGTAAAGCTAGTGATCATGAATGCACATAATAACCTACTGCATACTGATACTTCTATAGTGATGTCTCATTTACAAGAAAAGTAATTTGATCCTTAAGACTCGTATAAAATATGAAACTGTTTCAGAAGTCAAACGACAAAAATCAGCGTTATATTTTCAAATTTTCACAGGAGTAGTTTCGATAGTTTTACCGAACCACCATCCTCAGCTGCAAAAGCGCAAATGAGCGAGATAGGATATAATGATTAGTTAAGATAAGAAAGCCTGGACAGAAAATAAACTAGTTTCGCAATCTGTTGATGAAACCATAAGTAAAACATAATTTCTTTAAAGGCCGAAGGCAAAGATGGATTGAAATTAGGATCGTTAACTAGAACAGAAAGATTTTTTTGAATGTGAAATGCCTCTATAAAATCCAATTCTCCAATGGAAGATAGTTTTTGAATAATTTTGGCAGCAGAAAAACTGAAAGTGTGATTTTCGGACCAACAATGTTGGGCAACAGAAGACTTCTGTGTTTCTTATTCTGTGTTCTGATTAATTCAACATGTTAGAACTATTTTAAGTGAACAACAGTCTGAAACATTAATATATTTAGCTGTCAGTATATTTGAATTACATAGTGCAGCCAGCAGAAATATCGTAGTAGCAGTCTAGATTTCAGATACGAAATAAAATGTTTGAAGTTTTCGTTTTCTTTACCTATTATTATTATTATTATATATGTTTCGAAAAATACGTAGTTAACAAATTTAGAATTAAATTTTAAAATATTTTCTCTTTTGTCAATAAAATGTTTTTCCTTTTGTTAAAAAAATTCTGCCTGGTCGGCTGTTTTCGAATCGTGCATCCGGCACGCAATTGAATTTGAGACCATTATTGACATTAAACACTATAATTTACCATTTTAGGATGAACGTGCATGCATATTTTCGCTGGGTTATGAGAATTGTTAGGTTACTAATTTTCACGATACTGCTGAAAATGTTAGCGGGTACAAAACGTTTTTGGCGTGTTGAATGAGTGAATAGTCGGCTTGGATATTTTATTTTTTTATATGTTGTGTTTAACAACTCAGTGCAAAGTGTTTACATTTTGAGTAGTTTAAAGTGGTAACTACTGACTGTGCTCTGTTATATTAAGAACAGCTGTACGGATACTTCTGTAGAAAGTTCCAGAACTATAAAGTGTTTCTTTGTGAAAATAATTTTATTAATTCATCATCGGTTCTGTGTGCATTCAGTCCATTATGAACCTGTGCCCAAAAATATGTAGGTATATTTAGTAATTATGTGCTTCATAACTTCATTTTATTCAAGAAATGTAGCTACCTTATGTTTTAATTTCATGGAAATGAAATCAGAGAGAGATCTTCGTTCACCAATGGCTACATGGGTAATCTACTAGGTGAGCTAACCTGCTTTCATTTTATGTCATGTCATTTTTGGATGTCTTCATTTGTAGTACCCGAGTTTTGTGAGTAATCCATATAGCATGTAAATATAGTTTGAGAAAACATTAAAAGCAATATATTATCATTCACGAAATATAAATATCCGACGTTTATAAATTGTGATTACCTTATACTAATTCCCTTTCTTTTTAACCCTTTATGGAAACAGAACTTTTGTCGCTACCACAAAAAATGTTCTTATTATGTTATGATCTAGTTAGTATTCAAAGTTGTTCTTATTATGTTATGATTCAGTTAGTATTCAAAGTTGATTATGTCTTTCAAGTGTTCTGCTTTCACCCTGTTAAAATGTATAAAGTCAAAGAAATTCAAGTGTAGTAAATCCAATGCATTACTTATTGAAAACGCACTATACAAAAGGCTGAACCTGATGCATGCAGTTACGTATCTCGATTGTTGAAAACGTGATAGATGTATACGATGAAAGCTGATTGATGACGGAGAAGATACAATCGTCTCCGGTTTAATATTCTTTTACTGTAGGCAAGTATATTTTATGCAGCTATACAAAGTGGAGCAGTAAGCGAGTCTGTTCATATATAGCAGTTACACTGATACCACTTTTTTAATAATCTTTGAACAAAATTATTCATTAATTTTTAAGCTGCTTACAGATCACTCGATTTTCCTGTTTCTTTCTCGAGAATTTTTCTTTTTAATTTTTTGACCTCACGTCATAGCAGGTAATATCGAAATAACTTTGAAATTATAAAAAAAATATTTAGTTTCACTTTTAAAGCTTTTCAATTATCTTAATTTTAACTAAATTTTCATCATTAGTATTTTCTATAATTTTTGAAATGTACCATTTTTTAAAATCATCTAGATATAATTCAGAAACGTGGCTCGGTTGAAGAGTTTTCATCTGCTTCTTGAAAAAAGGGCCAAGAAAGTTTTAACAATATTACATTTAAAAAACATTAAAATTGTTTTCATAATTTGAAATGTTTATGTTTTGCGTATTTCCTTTTGAGTAGCAGCCCCATCTTTCCTTACTTAATATTGATTTAATTTTTATCCCTTGATTGATTAATTAATTTAGCAGCATACTGCGCCACTTTGATAATATATCTAATTTCAATTTGAAATTTCTCAACTCTGATGTTTGTCTTTGAATCATTCAAATCATATAATGCTTCTGAAATTTTATAGCCATATAAAGTTTTTAAAGTTTTGTTGTTATTCGGGTATTTTCAGTGTAAAACTGCGTGTACAACTAAAAGTATCTGTGATGTTAATACATGTTTCTATATATAATTCTCTTGAAATGACGATCAAACATTATCCATAGTATGAGACAAAATATTTTGACAAAATTCTTCTTTCATGTACTGATGATTCAAGTATCACATACTATGTTAATACAACCGGGCAATTGCATGCAGTTAACATATACTTTTGTTATATATTGTAAACAAAATTCAACAGAAAAAAAACTCCTATTACATATTGTGGCAGTTCGAATATCAACATAAATTACAGGCTTTGCAATAAAATAGGATAAAATATCAAATTTGATAAAATTTCTGACTAAGATTAAATAAATACCCGAATGGTATATATCTTCAGAAGTTATCAGAATGTAAAATGGCTGTGTGTAATAAGGAAGCGAAAACAAGTCGTTATGAATGCTTAAAATACAGGATATAGATAATGTTTTTTAAAATCCAGTAATCCCCATTGGAAGCACGCATTTTTTCTTGGAGTAATATAATACTGTATGCAAGAAAAGCGTAACAGCATTTCAGTGATTATGTATATAATGTACTCGTTAATGATGCATGCTATTATAATTAAAATGGTAAGGTGATTTAAAATACTATTAAAATTTTGTGACGCATTGAAAGGATATGCGCAGGTTTATTTTAACCATTTTGGTTATGAATGAATCTGTATGAGAATAGTATAATTTATATTAAATACACTATTCTCATACGGTTATTTCATGCTGATTAATGATGTACTGTAATTTTAATTTTGTTTCGCATAACGTAAGTATACAATATTAATTGTTTCGTATAACCTTTCTTCACAGATGTAAATAATTCTGGAAGAATATCCGAGCCACCTGCGTGCGGTTAAAGGTTTAGAAAGCTTAGTAGAACTAATCTTTGTCTGTAGGAAAAGATCGGGTAATTTTTCTATTGAATCTTATTTTAATTGAATAGCAAATTCTAAAATAAAATAGTTATTATCTTGCGTGTATAATATATAGTAATGAAATGTAATAAGTAAATTAATATCCAAATAGTGTTTTTAAAGGCTATAATGAAGAAATTTTATCGCAGCAAATATCCATTTATATTTATGATAAACTGTTATTTAGCTCAACATGAAGTACCGAAACAAACGAATTTTACGGTTTAACATTTGTCATGTAGCATAAATTAACACACATATTTTCTTGTGCATTCTACTATGGAATCCATTACTTACGCCTTTTTAAAATAAAAACTTACGACTTACTGCCCTGCATTGGCAGCAGAAGTAGCTTTATCGTCGCTATGGAATTCGGTCGCTACAACGTAGCTGGTCTGTAACTGCTTTAATATTTATTTTTATCAATGAATTATATTATCGGATTACATAATTAGATGATTTTTATATGGATATTTTTATTATTTATATGCAATTTGTATAAAGCAGAAGCAGTTGAATCCATTATAGCTATAGCAAAACGAAACTTTGCATTCGTATTTAGGCGCCATTTGATTATTGGCCATTAAACAGTATACACATCAAAGGAGTTAGTTACAAATTTATGTTTTTACAGCTGTCAGAACAAGAAAGGTGGATTTAAGCTATAATAATAATAATAACGTATGAAAACATTTTAAAATTAGATATCACAAGGATCTATTTGATGCCACTGAGAAAAAAAATAACTTTGACTGGAACTCCTATGTCTCCACTTCCTATGAATGGCAAGCATTTCTGGTGAAGGAAAGAGTTTTGAACATTTATCGCATGGAAATGCAGTAAAAATACCTAAAATACAAAGCCATAAATATAATTCATATAAAAATTTCCACACACTTGTAAAGAGATATAAGAGATAAGCAATTAATAAGATAATCTTATAAACACATGAAATTAGAAATTCGATGCAACTGGACAAATTAACATATGAGATCAAAATATGTTTTGGAATTTACGAAATATTGAGATAAAATATGAATCAAAAACTATAACTAAAATGCTATTCAATAATCCTAAAATAATAAGTACCACATAAAAAAGGATTAAAAGTAATTCTTAAAAACTATTCTTAAAACTATGCTAATATTGTAGGAAGAAGTACAAAATTCGAGATAAAAATAACTTAGCACACAAGTTTTTTATTAATAATACAAAATTTTATATTAATAAATAAGTTTTTATATTAACAGTAAAATTGTTCTGTGTTTTATTACTACATACAAAGTAACAACTTATAAAATATTTAAATATCATACTACAAGAAAATATTTAAATATCATACTACAAGAAAATATTTAAATATCACTCTAAAGTTCAAGAGCCTAAAATATAGAAAATAAAACGAGAAGAAACTTAAAATTGATACTTTGATATTTTATTTAGTTATTCTAAAGTTATTCTATTTCTGTAAGGGATATCACCGACACCATGCACGAATTTGCCCCTTTTTTGCTGTTTTTCTTTACATGCATTTTCTAGGCTGCTTTATGCTAGATTGATAGAGAGAGATCAATATAAAAGAATTATTTTAAGGAAAAAAATTCGCAATAAAGGCTTTGCAAATTTACGGTTTTGAAGATCTGTTGATTTTATTTAAAAAAAAATTAATTAACAGTGAACGAGCGTGCTTCCATTCACGAAAAAGAGCAAATTTGTGTCTTTTCCCGATTTTTTCTTCAATGTATTTTTTTTTTTTTTTTTCTTTTTTAGCACAATCAACTGGATATGAAATATGCAAGCTTTACTTCAGAAATCATCCTCTTAAAAGTTTACAAAGTACAATTAGAACCTGAATTCAGAGTATACAATTCTACACTCTCTATAGCAGAAGGTCCCATCAGTGTGCGGGGGAATGCGATCAACCTTTTGTTTAGCAGGTTGGTTTAGTTTATGAATACAACAAACTAGTTTTATTCAAATGTTGATTTTAATCAGCATTTTTTATAATTTTTGCTTAATTTATCATACACGAAAATAATTAAAATCTAAATAACCGTATCTATGTATTTCTCGAGTTTTGGAAAGGAGGGAGATTGAATTTCTTTTAGCAATGGTGAAAGGGGTGTATGAAATAAATCAAGTTAAAAACATCTGCTCTGCAGTGTCCCTACCTCTCATGTTACATTCGTTTGTACTCAGCTGTGCACACAATATTTTATCTACCTTTGATTATTTGTCCTTAGTGACTCCAGAAATGTGATAATCAAGCGTAAAAGTGATATTCGAAACTGCTTATTAAAATTCTAACTACTAATTGATGATATTCATTCTGCAATTCATGTATAATTGAAAAAGTTTAGAAAAAATTAATTCTGAGATAGGTAATAGAATAATTCTGAGTTATTTGTCAATATTATATCTATTTCTAAAACTTTTAACAATTCTTTTCGAATTTCAGATCTTATTCCCTTTTTTATTAGCTTTTTTGTTTTACTTTGCTTCGTCTCTATATCTAGTTTTTCTACCTTTTGTGGTTTACTTTAAAAGTAATAATTACAAAAAAGCAGAAAGGATAATATATAAAAAAGCAGAAAGGACTTTTGCGTTTTTAAATTACTGCTCTCGTTTAATCACATATTTAGATGGATGCCATAGATACTCGTTCATAGTTTATATATACATATATATTTCGTTATAATTTTAATTCAAAGTGCTCGTAATTTCCTGAAATACTTATAGAATCTAAAAGGGATAAGAAATTTTTGATCATCAAATGCATATGAAAATCCAGATATTTGAAAGCTCAAGAAAGTTGTCATCTAAAAGTTCGATTTCGATTCCGATCCATCTGGAAAGGTAAATCTTGTGGATTTCGGATTGAAAATTGACCTGAAATAAGAAAATACTATTACAACACAAAATTATTCTAATGTTATTCGCTAAATAAAATACACGAAAATTTATGAATATTTTTCTCATACGTCTTTTCTCCATTATAACACTGATTTTAAAACAGTGAGTATGCTAAAAATAAGCAAATATTATAACAGGGGGCTTCAGTAGATTGTAATTTACATCTCATTTCACCTTCTCTCTTTTGTAAAGTAATAAGTCCCAGTGAAAGTTTAATTGGTCTCGAGTATATTTGTTTTTTAAATGAAAAAAAACTGTTAAGCACAAAGCCTTTTGTATCAAAATACAGTACAGGTTCTGCAGTAAAAAAATTCCTCGAGACTTTGGAGATGAAACATTGAGATTTTTGCAAGACAAAATGAAGTGAATCAAGCCAACGTAAAACTGAAAACATTTTAAGATTTTTGGATGACTAGGATAAATTGAAGCAAGTCAAGTTGAAGCTGAAACAGTTTGAGAATTGTGCATTAGTCGGTTTTTATGTCTGTCGTTACAAAGTAGAATTTGGAGTTGTTAGGGAATTGAAAGTTGTATTATTTTTTCAAATATTTTTTACAAATTTTCCTTTTCAGGTCTACATACAATTGCGTTCATTAATTTTAAAAACATTTTATGTATTTTTCTTTTTTAGGTATTTATGGAACTGATTTCAATCACATAAAAATATTTCTTTTTCAGGTGTATATAGAAATGATTTGATTCAAATTAAAATGTTTTTATACATTTCTTTTCAGATGTACATAGAACTTGTAAATACTTTTTTTCAGGTGTATATAGAAATGATTTCATTCAAATTAAAATGTTTTTTTTTCTTTTCAGGTGTACATAGAACATGTAAATTTTTTTTTGTAAATAATTTTTCTTATTCATTGCTTGCATTTTTGTAAACACATACAAATATATATATATATCTTAATTGTGCGTGTGTGTATATGACAATGCATATATTATGATCTTGATTCTGTCTATGATTCTGTAACAGCAGACCAGGGAAGGGGCTGATACCTGGGAGAAAAAATAACCCCCTGGTCGATGAGGTTGCAGAGGAGACCCCAGGTGTCAGGCAGTTTATGCCGTCAAAAGCCCTGTTTAATTTTTTTTGTTTTTTTTCTGTTCAAGTTTTTGTGTTTAATATAAACTTATAACTAAGAAATTATTATTATTATTATTATTTCTTTTCAGATAAATACGGATTGTAGCTCGCCCATCTGGCGTACTTACTCGGTAGATTTTAAAAATTATTTTCTGTTTTTTCTTTGAACTATTGACGCAATAACTGATTTCATTCATATAAAATATTTTGTTTTGCATGATATTTAATATACTCAAGGGATAGGCCTGTAATGTCTTTCCCAAAGTTGTGTCTTTTATAGACATAGGTACAGTAAAATATTTTACGGGTTCACACGACTGACATTTTATGAAACGTTTGGAAAAGTTTCTGTGTGCTGCCCTACTGTGTTATCCAAAGAACAACAGTTGCAGTAGTGATGATAATGTGTGTACAGATAATTTTGGAGTTTGTTCAAAGATTGATGCAGATTCCGACAAAGAAAACGAATAATGCAGTTCTTGTGGATGATTTTGTTTCATTGATTTTTTATTAAATACATGCCTATATGCATATCTGTGCAAATAAAATGTACTCTAATAAACTTAATTTTGTTGAAAATATGTTTTTTTTTTTTTTTTTTTTTTTTTTTTCAATATCCTTTAACACGAAAAAATTCTTCAGTCCCTTCGGTTTCGTGTTAATAATAATGAAAGTGAGAAAAACAATTTTAATCATAGATTTAAAATTATTTTTCTGTTTTTGATTTAAATACAAAATATTTCCACAAATTTCACACAGAAACTATTTTAGACACCAGCAAAGAATTGAGTGGGTGCAGCCCACCCATCTGCAATACTTACTCGGTAGATTTTAAAAATTATTTTCTGTTATTTATTTTGAATGCGATAAAAACAGGCGACTAACTAATTTGGTTTATATGTATGTACATATATATTTTCAAATGTATATACAGGGGATATTGGACACATACAACACTATTGACACAATATGAGCTATATCCACACAATGATGGAACAAGGTGTGCAGCAGATGCAAGACATGGGCATGATTCACATGATATTTGATATACTCGAGGGATAGGACTGTAATGAGCAAATGAGTTTGTTCCACAAAGTTGCGTCTTTTACAAACACCCAACATTCGAATCCCAGTGAATGGGGTGGCTGCATGGGTGTTTTTGTTATTTTCCCCATGCCACTTTCCTTTAAAAAGCCGACAAGAAGGCATCCCTCCCCTTAGGCAGATTGCACTCGAGTGCTTTGCCGTAGCTGAATACGCTACACCACTACATTACACACGGAAGTAAAAATGACACTTCCTGTGGTCGTTGCCTAATTATTCAAAAATATTTTGATAATTGTTATCTGTTCTTAGAATTTCCATAGCATTGCACATATTATTATTTAACATTCTGTTATTTACCAGCAATTTTATAATCTGCAAGTTTTGGTTTTACAATTTTTGATTTTTTAAAATTAACACCTTCTTACACAATTTGCAAACGAGTTCAATAGCCAAACATTCCCTTTCATATTACATCTGAAGAACTGTTGTAGCATTATGCAACAAACATTTCGCTGTTCATTAAAATATAGGAACACTTTTCAATCAAATTTTGATTAGAATTTGATGTAGATTGAAAAGTTGTTTTCAACTCAGCTGCCTTTACACTCGCAGTTGTATTCACAATTGATTTTCACGCTGGACTTTTATCATTTGTCATATCCGCTAAATTTTAAGTGTCAGCAATTTTTTCTGCGGTAACAGCATCTACAAATGACCATCTGCCATGAATATTCTTCACACATGCACGAGTTTATTTTAGAACCGCTGATGCTTTGGGTTTATGATACTACTTGCTAATATGCATTATGATAGCATAAGTAAAAAAAAAATTTACCAGTATAATCAAAATAGAACAAATTCACGACTAAAAATTATCAAGAGTCTTAGAAGACCCTTCGAAGAACATTTTTAGAAGGTAAACAAAGATAACTGACGAAAACTGATCAGCTCGAAAACCCACGCTTGAAAAATGTAAACAAACGCCGCCGAAAGCAGTTACAGTTACGACTAAGATCAAAGGTTTGCTCGCAGTTAAAAGTATTACTTCCGAGCATGAAAAAATTGTAACATAATGCTTTAAATGTTTTCTACTATTTTAAAGGCATTTAAATGCCAGTATATATTTACTGTTATGAAACATAATTACAAAAGAGATGTATATTTGTGAATCAAAATATACAAAGGATGATCAAGTACGAATATTTGCTCTGATTTTCCCTGATTTTTCATGTAATACCTGTGCTAATAAAAAAAAAGATTACCGTATATCAAATAAATATAGAAGATTTAGAAGGTAAACAAAGACAACTGGCAAACACTCATCAGCTAAAAAAAACCACGCTTGAAAATGTGAACAAACGCGCCGAAAGCAGTTAAGGCTAAGAGCCAAGGTTTGCTCGCGGTAAGATGTATTACTTGCGGCAATGAAAAGATTGTACAATAACGCTTCTAAAATATTTGTCTACCATTTTCATGACAGTATATATTTACTGTTATGAAACATGATTACAAAAGAGATGTTAAGTGTAAAATTTATAGACAGGAGTTGAAGTTTACCAAAAAGAATTTAAATAAAGGAAATTTTACTACTTCGTACAAGCGGCCGGTAGATTTTTAAAAATTATTGTCTGTTATTTATTTATTTATTTATTATGAATGCAAATTAAAACAGGCGACTAAGTAATTAACTTTGTTTATATGTATTTATATATATTTTCATTTTCAAATGTATATACAGGGGATATTGGACACATGAAAAACTATTGACACAATACGAGGTATATCCACACAATGATGGAACAAGGTGTGCAGCAGATGCAAGACATGGGCATGATTCACATGATATTTATTATACTCAAGGGATAGGACTGTAATGAGCAAATGAATATGTTCCACAAAGCTGCGTCTTTTATAAACATCCAACGTTCGAATCCCAGCGAACGGACTGGCTGCATGGGTGTTTTCGTTATTTTCCCCATGTATAATGTGTATATGAGCCACTTTCACTTAAAAAGCTGACAAAAAGGCATCCCTTCCCTTAGGCAGATTGCATTCGAGTGCTTTGCCGTAGCTGCATACGCTACACCACTACTTCACACAAGGAGGTAAAAATGACACTTCCTGTGATCGTTGGCTAATTATTAAAAATATTTTTATAATTGTTATCTGTTCTTAGAATTTTCATAACATTACCCATATTATTTAACATTCTGTTATTTATCAGCTATATTATAATCTGCAAGTTTTGGTTTTTACAATTTTTGATTTTTTCTAAAATTAACACCTTCTTACACAATTTGCAAATGAGTTCAATAGCCAGTAGCATTCATCGTTGCAGCATTATGCAACAAAATTTCGCTGTTCATTAAAATATAGGAACAATTTTCACTCGCATTTCGAGTGAAAAGTTGTTTTCAACTCAGCTGCACTTAACTCGAAGTTGTATTCACAATTAATTTTGACGCTGGACTTTCATTATTTGTCATATCCGTTAAAGGAGATTTATTTTAAGTGTCAGCAGTTTTTTCTGGCATAACAGCATCTACAAATCACCTTCTACCATGAATATTCTTCATACCTGCAGGAGTTTTTTTAGACCCGATGATGCTTTGCTACCACTTGCTAATAACATACGTAAAAATGATATACATTATGATAGCATACGTATAAAGAAAAATTTACCAGTATAATCAAAATAAAACAAATTTGTCTTCAGACAAAGTAGACAGATGTTTTTTGTTGCACCCGCTAAGTCTTTCTGCACCGATTGCCGAAAAATCAAGCATAGGTGCGAAGGAAAGGTACATAGAAAGGGGAGCAATTTCGTATTTCAGAG